GATTTTGTATTTTTAGGTAATGGGCAGTACACATGCATAGACTTACCGGTCATGTTGGCATCACTGATTTTTCTTTTAACACACCAGCAAACCTGTAATGCCAAATATTCGAATCGCTCGTACAAATACGGAAAAACCCCCGATTAAAGTCGATCGTCAAATTTTTTTTTTTAATCAGCAAAATTAATTCAACAATAGTAATTAAATAAATAATTAACTCGGCTAAATAAAATAAGCGATGGACGAAGAGGGCGGAGGATGAGATGTTGAAGGGTAGGAAGTTGGGGATGGACTGAAGTGAACGGAGGCAGCATGTTGAATGGGGGCGGGAGCTCATTGGCCGCTCGACTGTGACGTCAGAGGGAACGAAGGACCTTCTCAATGGCTCTTCAACCCCTCCAGGACCTAAGGATGGAAGGTGAAGAAGCCGACAGCCTTTTCTTTCTTTAAAAGATTTCTTTTGCAATTTTGTGGTGCTTAATTTTGATTACATTTACAAAAAAAAAGTGTAATTCAATAAGATATTGATGAGAACATGGAAAATACCAGGTACTCAAAAAAGTTTAAAAAAAAAAATTAATCTGTTTTGTTTGAGCGGTGAACAATAGATGAGATCCTCAGATGGAGATCAAAGCCAGAATTATACAAGCAAATCATTCACAAAATTAAAAACCCTCTTATGCCGCTCTACTCATTCTGGCACAGAAGTACCGAGTGAACTTATAACTTTCCCCGAGCTTTCTTTTTACTAGTTTATTTATATATGATAATTAAGTTATTCATTACATAACAGAGCTGTCTTGAATTTTAATTCCGAGGAATACTTGTACTTATATTTATTAATTTATTAAAATATTGTATATGTACGTTTGTATGTTTGTGTTGTACAGAGCCTTTTCACAGGCCCCCTGCTATCTATCCTACATCGGTAGGACTATTGTGCTCCCCCTAGATAAAGCTTCTTAATTTAGCTTTAGCCAGTTTTTTTAAACTTCCATAGCAACAGGCTCTTCCGTTATTTTTATTAGATTAAGCTTTTCTATGCCCGTGAGTACAAAATTTTTCTTTGTCAAGCCTTCCCAGTCGCATATATGTACTGTGGTTTTCTTGTTCTTCTTGGCAGAACCTCCTGCCCTCCAAATAATTTCATAATCCTATTTTAAGTATTGAATTGAATAATCCAGTTAAAGGACCTGCATGATGTTTAGTGTTGTCCAGTTTTGGCCTCTGTTCTAAGTTTTGGAGACATTTTTTGACGAAATCTTTGCCTGTGAGTGTTGCAGCACCAGATTGTTACATTTTTAACTATGTTTTAAACTCTCATGTCTTACCTTTTAAACTATGATTTTAATTACTTGATCCATTCGGCAATTGCTACTTTTTTTAAGGCAGTTTGAAATTTTTTTGCAGAAGGGTTCGCCGCATCTCCTTTGTCCGTCTGTTTTCGTTGCCTCTCCCTCACGCTCTCTTTCTCTCTCTCTCTCACTCTCTCTCTCTCTCTCACACTCTCTCTTTCTCACTCTCTCTCTCTCTAGAATTGAGTTTTTACTTCGTTTTCCACAGTGATTCCGCCAGTTTGGTTGGATCTACACTGAGTGGAAAAAAAGTGGCCACCCTCGTTTTTTAATAAATATTTGTAATCATTGTAATCCATTATATTTCGTGGTCCGATTGACCAAATAACTTTTTTCAATTAACTAATCTTAATGTTAGGTAATTGCTGAAATGAAAAAGTCACGAGCGGGATTCGAACCCACGACCCTCCGCTCAATCTCAGTGTCCTTCTCGCACATAATCCATCTCCAACAAAACTTCGTCTTACAGTCCGTCTATCCATGCCTTTTTGTGTAACCTCCAGTATCTTGATAGTGAAGGAAGACCCTTCAGACAGCTGTTCTGGAAATGTTAAACTCTCGCCAAATACGCTTGACTCCAACAATGCTTAAATTCTAGCCAAATCTGTATCACTTAAAACCACCACTCAAGTAAATTTTAAATTTAAAAATGGTACAATTTAAAAAAATCACACCACCGGAACTTTAGAAAGAGGCTTCTTTGCAAAAAAAGAAGAGATTTCAATGATTTTCAAAACTTGAAAGATTGACTTACAAAATCCAATTGTAAACACAAGTGGGAGGTTTTGGTGTTTTATTTACCTCTTATCCTTTAAAACCGATCAAATGTCGTGTAAGATAATCTATGGAGGATTGCTGAAAGATAATTACAAATATTAAATATGATGGCCACTTTGTTTTGCCTCTCAATGTATATGTACACCCAAGATAGTTAAAATTTTGGAAATGCTGACAAATCTTTAAGACCGAGTGCCAATATTTTGGTTTAGTCATTAATCAGGTTAAGAACATTTTCATAAAATCAACTTTTAAGATCACATATCTTGTGAAAATTCAACGGAATTAATGATGATAAACCATATTGGGTCACGTTTTGATACAGCGCGGAGGTAGATAAGGTGAAAGATAACCCCAATCTATTTCTCTCAGCACGTTCTAGTGTTTTTCACTATTGGCACTTTACATTCTACTGTACTACGATCAAAAGACCTAGACTTTGAAAGTGAAATCCATAGATGCGTTGGAAATTTGGACGATTCGTCCGACGCTTAGGGTTTTCTGGTTAAGAAAAATGGCAAATACAGCAGTACGGGAGGAGGCGGAAATATACATTTTAGACTCTTTATTTCCAAGTAACGGAAGGTTGACTCTCTGGAGCTTATAATCAGAGGAGATAAATACGAATTGATTGACTTTTTGAAAAAAAGATGTACAACGACGATTAGCTAACAGCTAATAAAAAAGCTAACCACCAATGATCTGTGGTTTGCCTATTCCGATTTTGGTCACCCTATCCTTGAAGTTTTTGTCATCTTCAGTGTTGGGTGTGTACAGACAAACAAGTGTGAACTGGCGAAACTAGAGTTGATCATCCCGCAAACCCCAAGAGGAAATCTCAAAGTTTACATTTCGATTGCTTCAAAAGATTTATCATTTGGGTTTTAAAATTTACAAAACGTAAGGATTAAGAAGATTCAAAGATTATCAAACTGCGTGGATGAACCATGTCATTTATATTTAGTCAACAAGTGTATTTTTGTCAGTGGCGGATCCAAGGAAGGTGTAAAAGGAGAATTACACCCCCTCACCCGGAGCCAAGTGAAGATGTTATCCGTTATACGTAATATGTCTGATTTTAACCTAATTAAGCAAAGATTCTTATATTTCAGGATTATAAAACCTTGATCAACCTTCTCTTTATTAAATCAGTTTCTTCTTAACTGGTCACGCTTCGGCTTTGTTTTCACCCGGTTCGATACTTTGATATCAAGAAACTTGTATGTTGATGTTTAATTTTAGGTAGATTTCTTTCAAAAATCTCGTGCTCTCTAGTGGTTGCTTTGCAATTAAATTTGGCAGGATGGTAAAGGATCCTTTCAGGACGGTTGGGATTGTTTTTCAGCCAAATCGACTGTTGGTCGCAGAGTTATAGCCGACGAAAGTAAAAAAATTCAATCAAAATTTTTGCCATTTTTGCGTTTTCTCCCGCACAGCAACCAGCTTGGTTTGTTTCGATCCCTCCTCATTATTGGATTTCTATATTTTTGGTACCGTTTTTAAGCTAGATTTTCCCTGTAACTTTTAAGCCCGGTTTGGCTCAAATCCAAGCAGTATTTTAAAAGTTATCATAACAAGTTATAATTATCTTCTGAAAGTTAAAAATTCCATTTTTAATCAGGATTTTTTTCTCAAATACGGTACTTTTAAACCTAATTTCTTTACATCCATTATATTTAATGATCTGTTAACCAAATTACTTCTTACAATTGATTAATCTTTTTATGTAAGGTTTTGGTCGAAATGAAAAAGTTAGTGCCACGAGCGGGATTCGAACCCACGACATTCGGCTAAACACGCCGCTGCTCTACCACTTGAGTTATGTGCTATTGTAGAGCAGCGGTGTATTTAGCCGAATGTCGTGGGTTCGAATCCCGCTCGTGGCACTAACTTTTTCATTTCGACGAAAACCTTACATAAAAAGATTAATTAATTGGAAGAACTAATTTCTTTCGTTTAAAAGTTCAAATTTTCTTTTTTATAATAATAAACGAATAATAAATACAACCGTAGGCGTTTCTTAATTTTTTGTTACCAAATATGCCAAGATACGTTTAAATTAACAGAGGAATCACGGTAAAAAGAAAAAGACCTTAAAATTACGTATATTATTAAAAAAATATGGTGTGGCCATCACACGTCTTTTTCCGTACATCTCACATTGTTACCAAAAAGTAATAGTGAAGTAACGCGAAAAAATAATTAATTAAATAGCTTAAATAAAATTTCACATTTTAATAGCAGGCCATTATTTTATTTTCATTATTTTCAGTGCTCTAGGTAAAAATAACCCGAATCTAATTTAATTTAACGCCAGCTGTTAATAACAAAAACATTTGATTATTTTTTTTATCCTACGAAAATATGTTTATGATGTTACGTTTTGTATAAAAATAAATAATCTATACCACCGGTTTTCAAATTATTCTATAATTTTTAAAGTCGCAAATTTTTAGACCGCTGCAATGATTCCGCAAAAGAAAGAAATCTACCTTTCACCCTTACTGCCGTGACTTTTTTTTTTGTTCGATTATGTTTTGTGCTACAAAATTACATTGCAGGCCACGGTTTTTTATTTTGATTAGACAACCTGGATCCGCCCTTGATTTTTGTATTGATTTTAAGGGAAGAAATAGTATAAGTTTTTAGTTTTGTATTACTTCTAAACAATTCATTAGTCTCCATATCTGCTTCTACTAAATTGTATCCTTTTAAATAAAATGATCTTTTTATTCAGTAAGGCCTTAAACAATTATTATAGAACTGATTGATTGTATTCACCAAAAAAATTGTCTTGTATTGTTCCTTATACTATGCTAAAACTAATAAATGTAAAATATATAATTGACTATTTGTAAAGGATAATAATTTAATTGTATAACTATTTAATATGTATTGTAAAACAAAATCAATGGACAACACGTTGTTTTGAATTTTTCAGTTGAAGGGTGGAAATGAATCACGTTTAACGACGGCAGCCGCTGAACAACACAAATCATTAACAACTGAAGCAGCATTCGGTTCTCTTTATTGTCAACTACTGGAGGCAGCAAGAAGCGTCTGTTTTTTTAGTTTTAGTCTGGGACCTAACACTTCTCATTTCTTCTATCGCTACAACAGGTTCGTTTTCGGGTCTCCTGGGCCAGCTGCCGCTCCTGCGAGGCACGTTTCTGACTGGAGGCTGCCTCTGGAGGCTCATGTCGCTCCAGACACCGGTAAGCCTCCGAAACCTGGGCTCTTCCTGGGCCGGAGGTGTGAACGTTTCAACCATGAGATCGCCTAAAAAAGACCTGTGTTTAAACTAGAAGAGCAAAAATAATTTCTTTGCACAAACAACAAAGACAGGCATACTTCATGTTACAGACATCGTATTCAGTAGATATTTAGATTCGATTAGTTCACTTTATTATTTTAAATTAATTAGAAGTTTAAACGTTTGTTATTGTTTATAAATCAATTCAAGAAGTTTGAAAGAGAGCCAAGTTGCCTAAAGATATATTTTGAAGGCTGTTTATTATTTTCCACTCCCACTAAGATATAAAAGAAGAAAAGGCTTAGCAAGCAGCCTTGCCGTACGCTCACAAAAAGTGTATCAGTACTCAGAATGACTGTTGTCCTACTTATATACAAGTTTTATTTTAACATATAATCTTTATGCTCATGCTAGAGACAACGAGGACATCTGTAAACCCCCAAAAAATCACATTGTCACTTTTAAGTTAGAAATGAAATTTATCAGGTTTTCCTTTAAACAACGAAGTGATTGACGCTGACCATACACTGGAACAAATTGTAGGAATAATTTCTTTCCTCATTATGGAGTAAAAAAAATACTGTACCCTGTAATTAGTTAGGACTACTAACTACTAGTAAGTAGTAGTACTAGTCCTAATTAACTCTCCTGTCCTGCAGTACTAGTACTAGGAGTACTACTACTTACTGTTAGTAGTCGTTCTAACTAATTACAGGGTACAGTATGTTTTTATATACTAGAGAATATTTAGTCAATTGGAAAACACAATTCCTGAGGAACAAGCCAAAACAATAAATGTTTTGGGGTTTCGAAATTTTACGCCAAAACGCCCCAATAAAAAAAAAATATATATATATATATAGGAGGGGAGTACAAGTTACTTGCGCTGTATATATTGTACATAGTAGCAAATAATAAAGAATAGAAAAAAATCATATATATCATATTATAGACATAATCCAAACTCTTAATCCTGCTGAAGGGGATAGTTTATTTCTCGAAAGGTTAGGTGAAAGAATTGAGTGTTTTCTTTCTATGTGGTTCTATACTTGTCCGTTTCATAATACATGATCATAAAATTGAGGGAAACATGTCATTGAAATATAAAAAATATATAAAAAGCGTACCAATTCCATTGAACGATATTCGCGGTAGCTTCGAGGTGCTGTAGATTCTCGATGCGGCCTCGGCCTGCCTCGCAGTTATATCTGTATTCAGTGACACGTGATATCTTTTTTTTCCGATTTCTATCACGTGGCTCCAGTACTTCGGGTCCAATATTAACCTCTTTCTCGCACGGTGGGTCTTCCCTTCGGTAAGGCACCTTTGAGGAAAACTAAAATTTTAAGGTTTTACCATGTTTTCTCGAAATCGGATTAAATTAGAAAAACTTAAAACAACGGGTTTAACGGGAACAGAACTCGTTTAAAAAGCAATGAAATTAATCAGTCAACAAACGGGAAACGTACAAAAAATAATAAAGTTCAACATTACTCCAAAGACTTACAAGTATTTCGATGCTTTTTATTAAATCTAATAATTTATTAAAGATCTATTTTCAATAATTTATAAAACATTCTAGTTTATAGGTTTTGGTTAAATATGTACTATCCACGTTATAATTAACATTTAATCATAATAAAAAATTATTAATTAAAAAATTGTAGTAACAGAATGCAAAATGGAGCAGAAAAATAGAAAATTCAACAACCAACAACGTTTTTGATTAAAAAATGGCCAGAGGATTGTCCGTATGTATTAATATATTTAAAAAGATGTATAATAAAAAAAAACATATTTTAAATATTCTATTAGTACTTTTTCAATGATTTTATTTAACTAATTCAACTTTAAATTATTGAAATGAGCATTAGAAGATGAATTTAATCAAACTTTTGCGCGTCACATCTGCGGTTTTGTAATTCAATTTCAAATGGGATATAGGCCCAGGGAAAAGGAAACAATGGCAAGAGAGGCGGTCCTTATCGACCGGGAAGAGCGTCATTGTTACGACCTGCATCAACATGACGTCATACCGATGGCGTCACGGCCAGCATTCCCCCATCCCCTTGGCGGGAGTTCGCGAAAGTTTTTGTTTTTTTTTGTTAATTCGATCAATAAATTGTTTTCCGATGTGAGCTTTTTAAAATATGAATACTTACAGGTGAATATGCTGAAGTTTAAATGGAAAGTATGACGGCTTCAAGTAACGTTTTTCAAACATTTTCATTATACTACGGTCTAGAGAGATACACCTGAAAAAATAACAACAAAGGAAGCTTTAAAAACTTTTCACGATGAAAATGATTGAATACAGCAAAAAATCTTTTCATTTATTGTTTATTCCTTTGTTTTATTTAAGCACTACTTGGGATGTCTATGAATTTTAATTAAAAGGCTTATAACGGATTTTTAGCATATAAATTATAAAATCTAACCGCAATTCAATTTACTGTGAGACAATAATCGAGTGTAAACTTTAGACTAACTAGAAATAAATACCATGTACAATATAGTTCCCATTCAATATAATAGCAAACTTGAACTTTGAAGAATATATATGTACAGATCAAGAGATAAATAAATAAATATATAGGTTGATAAAAGTTGATTAGTTGGAGGTAATGAATGATTGGATGAATATGGTTTTATTTACAAAAAATATAGAAAGAGAAAAATAAGAGAGAGTGAGAGAGAGAGAGAGAGAGAGAGAGAGAGAGAGAGAGAGAGAGTGAGAGAGAAATGGAACGAAAATATTGATTAATTGATTGATCGTTTTATTAATTATGTAGTATTTAGTGACCGTTAATTAATGATTATTTAGAGATCGTTAGATTCTGTCTGGTGTGATGTAGGTTTAGAAACATTTTCTTTATCGTGCCAACGTTTCGATCTTTGTTGAAATCATCTTTAGGGCATGGGATTTATACACATTGTTTAAATTATACAAATACATGTAAAATGTGAATACAAATGTATACGATGATGTACACAATATAGAAATTTTAGGTTTAATCAAAGTATTTGTATTCATTCAAAGTGTTTGTTTTCTGTGTAGATGTGTCATTACTGTGTGTTGTGTTGAGAGTGTTAGTGATATTTTAATGTTTTTTGTTTATATGTTTGATTTTGAAGGAGTGTGGAAGGAATTAGGGATAGAAATTCATTTTTCTGTGAGGAGTCGGCTTCTTTGAGGTGAAAGGAACCGACAATAACAAAAATCCCAGCCGCTGAAGATGATCTCAATAAAGTTCGAAACGTTGGCACGATCAAGAAAATGTTTTTCTAAATCTACATCACACCAGGCCGCAACTCGCGATGTCTAAATAAGTTTTATTTAATCATGCAACGAAAAAGAGATACTGACAGACAGAAGAGAAAAGAGAGTGAAAGAGCATGAGAGAGAGAGAATATTTATCTAGATAAATAGATAAAATAATAAGTTAGTAGGTAAAGATACATAGAGAAATATGATTGAACAAGGAGAGATTTACAGATAGAATGAAAGTGCCTAATTATTGTACAAAAGTAAATGTGTGTACAAGGTTATGTCCCTCTTGTCATTAATGAGCACAAAACTGACGAAAGCCATTGACCGAAAATGTAAAATTACAAGAAAAAACAAACTTCTGGAAATGTCATGCTCGGTATCTGTACAGTTTTATAGGTTAAATCTAAGCCAGTGTTTTTATTGTTTATTATTATTAGTTGTATTGTTATTATATTGTGTGTATTGTATTATATCATTCGGCATACCTCAGCATCAGTTCGTTTTGCACCATGAGGAAACTGAATTCAACGCAGAGGTTCGCTGTCTTAGAAACAAATTCAGTCCTCCTGTCTAGCAGCAAGCCGTGGGCTCTGGGAAAAAGGAGGAGGGCCAGCAGAGATCTGTCCTCGCGCATCACGCGCTGCCTGATGTAGTCCGATTTCTCGTCCAGCGTCACCACGTCCCGGTATAGATCGACAATCAGGTCTTTCCCGTTCTTCAAGAAGTCCACGTCCTCGACGGCCTCCCTCGACATATCTCTAAGCGCGTAGACGACGTCCATCGTCTTGTGCAGAATCCTCAGGGTTTCCGTGACGTCGCGGCGAGCGGGTTCGAGGGTTTTCTTCCCAGTCTTTTTTATGTTCTCCGCTTGGTTCAACAGGTTGACGCATTTGGCGATCGTCTTCCGCACCCTCCTCTTGTCCGTGGCCGTCGGGGCGACGAGGGCAACTGAACCTTTCGACGTCGTCTCCATTATTTCGGAACGCACTCTTTTATACAACCCTTGGAGGTGTATCTTGGCGTTCGTCGAAATCTAAAACAAATTTCATTTAATACTAAATATCCAATTTAGGTAAAGGCCATTACATAACCCTTAAATTGGAAATAAGTTGTACGTACCTCTCTGACGTACAGCCTGTATGTTTCAGCATCATCGATATCTGTCAGCCTCACTGTCTCTTGTATCGATTTGACAGCTATACCTTTCTGAGTGTTAACCTTCACCACTGGCTTTTTCTTTTCTTCCGTAAGTTTTAAATCGACCCCTTTGAGATAATTTAACACCTTGTGTTTCAAGGCAGTGGCCAGCCTCCTCGTCTCAGCTTCGAGACAGTAAACCGCCGGGGCGGGATGTTGCAAATGCTGTCTTTTGTTTTGTTTTTTCTTCTTCGGTGCCTTTTTGTGGCGCCATTTTCCTTTCTGCGATCTTTCTTGTGACTGCAAGTCAAACTCGGTATTAATTTTAGGTGGATTACTCTTTATTATTATTATTACTCTGTTGAAGTATTCATCGAATCGTCCAGTATCGTCCAAATCGACTTCTTTGCCCTCTGCCGTTAAAAATAATAATAATAAACTGATCGTTAAAGATGTTTGATTAAAAAAACTCACGTGTTGTTAAATAATTGTGGTGTTTTGAAAATTGTGTAGATGATGGAATTTCGAATTTTCTTTCTGGTTTCTCTTCCTGAGTTTTTTTCGACGACGGGCTACAAGTTTCTTTTTTGGGCAGTCGGAAACAAAACGTCATGAACGTTATTATTCCGGTGTGCCGAGTAAACAACGTTGCTTACCATTTTTGCTACAATCTATCACTTTTTTATCTACGGTATTCTTTCTGTGAGGCTTCCGTTCGTCGGTTTCTGGCAGTATGACCTTCAGCTCTCCTCCTGCAGAATCTTTCGGGGCTTCCGGGCTCTCTTGGCTCACTGCTATGGCAGTTTCCGAGTCCTCCCCGTTGAGGTATTGTTCCAAAGCTTCTCTTTCCAAATCCTGTTTAATATCACAGCGGGACAATTTTACTATTCGATATATAAGCTAATATTTATGATTCATTTTAGAAATTTAGTAGAAACGGTTGAATTAATAATTTTCGATGGGATTCTTTAACCGTCATTAGAAGTAAAAAAGTGACAGAAGATTAACGTGTCATACTTGAAACCTGACTTCCTGTTCTGGGCTTAGTTCGGTAACCACAGCAGGCGAAACCAAGCTGGGGTCTGAAGCTAGGTACTGCTCTATCGCCTCTCTTTCTAACTCTTCAAATTTATTTTCTATCGTGCCGTCTTCTTTGGCCCTCTCGTTTTCATCGACCTATGGATTTGTCCTGTTTTTATTATGTAGAAAAACCAATTGCATTGCAGAGAAAATTTTTTACTGAACTGTTACCTCGCATATTTTCCTTGTCAGGACGTCTCTGTATAGGAGGCGGTCTTGAGTTATGTTGTTGGATATACTCAATGGATTCGGCGCTATAGGAAGAATCTACAAGTACGATCAATTAAATTGAAATGATTACTTAATTAATTAGCAATCTTTTTAAAATTAAAAGCAACCTGGTCAGTTTTTAGAGCGAGTTGGCGGGCCAGATTTTCATAATGGTTAGCTACAGCGAGTAAATTTGTAAATTCGTATCCTCTCCTCGGGTAAACGTGATCCAGCCAAATCCTCATTTCATTTAAATTCTCAGGTTCTTTTTCTAAATGAAAATAATGTAGTTAAAAAAATCCGTACGTTTATTCATGATAATATTGTCTAAACAAATCAATTGAATTGATTTTTGTATTTATGTTTTCGTTTAATAATTAGGGTTATAACGATGAGCTGGGTTATCGACCTGCTGGAAACAAAGTTTTTCGATTGGCGAAAACTGAAAGGAAGTTTTTTTTCTTTGTGTTGACCTCTTCCGTAGATCCTCCGAAAAACTTCATAATTAGGGTTATGATTTTTTAAAAATTACGGTTCATTCTTTTGCGGGATCGGTGCTACGCTTTTCTCTATATCTCAAAATTGTTAGTAACTGTAGCTATGTTGTTGTATAAATGTTAAGCCAATTGTTAAATTCAATTAAACTGTAGATTCTCACCAGTTTACTGTTTATTTGTTGAGGTAGCTAATGCAGTTTTGCACTGCGTCCATAAGATACCCGCTAATTAAAGTGGTAGTCTATTTCGAAATATTTCACTATAATATTCATTGAAATGATGAATGATGGAGTGAGTGCGGTGTTCAATCCTTTTCTAAAAAAGATAGTTCCTACTCACAGTAAGTTGTTTTCCAACGTCCGGATTTCGAGCCCTTAGCTCATCATCAGGTTGAAGGATTTCTACAACCTGATGATGAAAGGTGATTTTACTGCATATAAGTAAACATAAAAACATTGTAGCTTGGTAGTTCCCGACATTCTGACTAGCCCTATCTGGTCCTAATTAGTTGTATATTTAATAAAGTTGGTTGTTAGTTAGTCAATTTTTTCTTGAGGTCTGCAGGTTGATGAACCTGTTGCAGTTTTCTCGTTGTTTGATAGTAGGGAGCGAATAGAAATGCCGTTTAATATTAGATCTGTACTCAATCACAAAAGGGAGGGGTCAGCTATTCTGATTTTAGTAAGATAAGGAAATTTCTGAAAAATAATCGTTTTATATAGGTAATAAATCATCACAATTTGGGTACAAGATAATCGAGAAATATAAAGTACTCAATCAGACTCTGTAGTGAACGGCAAGTACTTAGAAAAGATTTTTTTTTAAGATGTGAAGGTTAGCAATTCAAGGACAGAGAAGTTTAATTCCAATTTTTTTGAATAGTCACCAAGTTGAATTATGTAGCAACTGAACGCAATTCAAGATTTGTTTGTTTAATAGTAAATAATAAACGATACACTGTAATGACACATCTACACAGAAAACAAACGCACGAGCCCTGAAGATGATCTCAATAAAGATCGAAACGTTGGCACGATAAAATATTTTCTAAACCTACGTTACACCTGTACGCATCTCACGATATTCAGATAATCGTAAATAATAGAGCTATTTAACTTGCATAAATACACTTTTTCATAAAAACCTACTTGCTGTTAAGTTGTCCAGGATGCGTGGAAATTTCTTAACACACCTCTGCGGCTCTGGTTGAGGTTCTGGAGATAAAAATCCCGTCAGTTTTTGTAAAATGTCCCTTGCTTCGTTTTTGCTTACCTTTTGGATTTGGGGGTGGCGGCTTTCTCTCAGCTTCGATTCCCTTTTTGGGCCAGTCTCCGAATCCTTCTGAAGTTGGAGACGTGGATGTTGTCGGAGACGGCGCCTCGATCTGTTGAGAGGAGAAGCCGGAGAAATTGTTGAGGTTAAATATCGTGGACTTTATTTTTAAAAGCGTTATGAAAAAAAGAAAAAAAAATGCTCACTGGTGCCCATATACCGTCTTCCTTATAAGGAAAAAGCTCCGCTTGGTAGTTTGAGTCAAAAACGCTCGGGAACCTAGAAGGGCTGGAATAATCAGGAGTGGACGTCAGAAAAAAGTATAATTATGTCAAATTTCAAGTGAAATTGTGTAGAATTAAGACTTTGTAATTTCTGATTTGAAAGGCGAAAGACGTATTCAAAGATATTTTCTTGTATGATTTGCTATTGCATTATAAATTTCATTAATAAATTTAAACAAAAAATTAATCAATATTTTATTAAAACCACACAAACATCTATCTGTTCAAGGGAAAATCCTCATTATACAGAAGTTTTAAACTATTAGGTTAGACAAAAAGCAGGTTTCTGTTGGAAAGCGCGAAAGTATTGTTATGTGTAAATAGTAAATTTTTTTGTGAAAATATGTGAAATACCTTTGTTTTTGTGTAATAAATATCTAACAATGTCAAATGTGTGCCCAATAATAAGTTATGAAAGAAATTTATTAAGAATTTACGATGATGCTGATGAAGATTATAATGATGTAGTTTAACTTTCGGTTTTTCACTTTTTATGCTACGTATACCATTATTTTATTTTATATCAACTGTATATTATTAGAAATATGACAGTACAATAGTCGAAGCTTGTTTAACTTTCACAATATCTAAGTCCATATAAGTGTAATATATTGTACGATGTAACAATATAAATTATTTCAAATCAAAATTGTATTCACACAATAAAAAAACAAGTGTTATTTGTTAGTAATTCACTTCTGATATGATTTCTTAATGAACTCATAGTTTAGTCGTCAAGTTGCCCAAAAAACAAAGACATTAACAAAACCAAACAATAGAAAAAAATACATGCAAAAAACTTATTATCTTGATGTGATTGACATCAGCTTTAAATATATTATTATATAGATGAAAGATCAGGAATAAGGTGAATTTGAAATTGACAGACAACTGCTTGAAATTATTGTTTTATTTCAAATATCGTAAATAGATTTTTACATTTTTTAACCGTTTAAATTATTTAAAAAAGTTTTAAAGTCCTGTTGAAGGAAAACTTGATAAATGAACTGTTTTTTCTTTCGTTCAATTTCTCCTTCGATCTTTTGTATATAATGATAAAAATAACCAACTAACAAACATACTGCATACTCCAAAACCAAGACGACACATCAGAAACAGACATAAAACGCCCCACATTAACTTACATAGAGAAAGAAGATCGACTAACTTAAGAATTTAGGGTAAATAAAAATGGCAATAAAGATGGCAGCAACCAATGCATGACGGAAAATCTAAAACCTATGGGAAGTACTAACACGAACGACAAACAATACAAAAAATAACAAGCAACTTCAGCAACTACAACGTGTACAGTTAGTAAACTATTGAAAAAAAACTCATAAAATGGACCACATTAACATACAGAAGTAAAAAACATACGAACTATTGGGTTGTCCGGAAAATAATGCAGGATTTTAAGTTTTCATTAAAAAAAATCTATATAAAATATTCTGTTTACGTTTACAGGATTACTAATTTGTATGAATGTCAACACTTATTAATCCTCTTCCAAATGATATTGTTTGTTTACCTCTGTAGCATTCCGCTACTTGGAAATAATTCAGTCATCCTTATAATGTCAAAGCGAGAATTTCGTACGATTTTCTTTTACGAGTTTAAACTCGGCCGAAGCGGAGCCCAAACGGCTAGAAACATTAACCAAGTCTGGGGCGAGGGTTGTGTTAATGAGTGCACTGTGCAAAGGTGGTTTAAAAAATTTCGGGAGGGAGATTTCAGCCTTGAAGATGAAGAAGGTCGTGGAAGGCCTTCCTCTCTTAATGATGATGTTCTGCGATCAGTGGTGGAAGAAAACCCCAAAACAACTGTTCGAGAACTTGCAGAGCAACTCAAAGTCAGTAAAACGACCGTCGCTGACCACCTCAAGGCGATTGGAAAAGTGAAAAAACTCGAAAATTGGGTTCCACACTCATTAAACGATCGCCAAAAAAATCAGCGCTTTGATGTTTGTGCATCACTTCTTTGTCGAAACAAAAATGACCCATTTCTGGCCAGAATTGTTACATGTGACGAAAAGTGGATTCTCTACGATAACACTAGACGTTCTGGACAGTGGCTCGACAAAGGAGAAGCTCCAATACATTTTCCAAAGCCCCCAACTCATCAAAAAAAGGTAATGGTTACGGTATGGTGGGCTTCATTTGGTTTAATACACTACAGCTTCTTAAATCCTGGCGAAACCATCAATGCTGAATCATACTGTAACCAAATTAATACCATGCATCAGAAATTGGCAGTAATGAAGCCCTCTTTGGTCAATCGGAAAGGGCCCATTTTGTTGCATGACAACGCTCGACCACATGTGTCACGTGTAACGTCACAAAAATTATTGGAGCTTGGCTATGAAACTTTGCCTCACCCACCCTACTCTCCGGACCTCTCGCCTACTGACTACCATTTTTTTAGACACCTGGACCACTACTTACAACACATAATATTCAAAAATCAAACGGAACTGGAAAATGCATTTATTGACTTTATCAATTCTAAAAATTCTGAATTCTACTCAGACGGAATTAATAAGTTACCAACACGTTGGGAGAAATGTATTGAGAGTATGGGAAATTATTTTGATTAAAGAACATTGCTTTAAAGTAACTAGTTTCTTTTTTTTTTGTTTAATACCAAAATCCTGCATTATTTTCCGGACAACCCAATAATATATTTAGTAACTTATAAAAAAACGCACTAAATAGTTGAAAGGCTTAATAAATTAATTAAAAATAATAAACAAAACTTGGACCAAGACTAAACCACTCATTTTGTATTAAAAAATCTGGGATGATTAATTTAAACTTAGAGGAATAGATCCCCTTGATCAGGAAATTAAAACTATTATAATTCTAGAGTTAACACCTAGTTATAAGGTTACATAGATAAGGTTGTCTAGATTTACACGGGGGTTCCGTGGTCAACCGGAATTTCACTATATTTGAACCCCAAAAGTTGCATATAAGTACAATAGATGTTCAAATTTGTTAATCTGATGAAATATTAATAATAGTTTCAAAACCCTGATGAAGAGGGAAGGTGGTTCCCCGAAAGTTTGACGAAGGAATTGAGTGTTTATTTATATATTTTTTTTAAGTTGGCATCACCTCTGATTTTGTAATACAAAATTATTAATATAATAAAAAATATTACTATTTCGAATATCGAACAGACCTTCGCACAAAGCTAACATGAACTCGCGACAATATATACAAATTTAGAATAACCCCTTGTTGCACTAAATGGACGAAAAATTGACACAAGTAAAAATGTATTAATAAGCACATTAAACAAATAAAAAGGAGGACACTATTTTACGCAAAATAAATAACTGGGGCGTCAGTGGCAACAACGGATTAGGCGTTGACACGGCGCTCATCATTGTAAGGTAAAGGTCTACTGTTCGAATCCAGCGGCCCCGAGTTACAATTTTTTTCAAAAACATTGGCACTTCTAAGGTTCCATATAACCTCATAGCTGAAATTCCTTGTAACGGCAGTATAGCTTCCTCATATTTTGTGAATGCGCATGAGGATATGTTAATCTGATTGGTGTAAAATTCATATGGATCATTTAGAAAGCAACCTGGCATAATCCGTGGAAATTGCATAAGAATCCGACAAATGGTTTCAGACACATCAGTGTATGCAATTTTACGTTTCCCCGTGGTGATACCGGTGATATGATTGAGATGAAATTCATAGGAGACTATCTGAAAACCAACTATCATAATCCCTGCAAATTTCATAAAAATTGGTTTCATGAATTGACCAGAGAGCAGACATGGAGCCCAATTTGTTTAGAAAGGTCTGAAATGCACAAATACGAATGGAAATTTTGACTTTTTTTTCGACTTCCCGCTTCAATACAAACAAGGCTTTCCTACCTTCGGTAGTTCGGAAACAAAATATAAGTAAAAATTCGGAACTTCCTGCAAAGACAGACAATGATAGCAACATTTTCACCTTTGAACATAATAAATAAAAAATACAATCACAACTGAAGGATAGTCAGAAGAAAATAGTATGACAGGCCTAACCAGCGAGGAACTACGAAATTTTTAAATACAAATGTTTCTTTTTATTTAGTTTAGGTTATATATTTGCATTTCTTATACAATTGAATCGACAGGACTAAAACCGTCCAAATGTTGCAACATTTTGGGTATAATAAAACAATTTAACAACGTTTCTAAGAAAGGACACAGCATAAAGAAAGTAAAATTTATGACAGAACTTAATACCCTGCCCACACAAAAATTCATTAGCATTCATTTTTTTAAATAAGTTTGCAGTTGCCCAATTTATTCTCAAAAATATATTTATATTCAGAAATCTCTCAGTTCTAAGACCAAATACATTGTTTAATTCCTAATGTCTCCAAACCATTTAATGCTTAATCTGTAATATTTAATTATAAGTCATCAACTATTTTAAAATGTTTATTTCTATATGAAATTTTCATACATTTAAAGAATGGCACTTCACAATACACTATGACAATTCACTACTTACGTTTAACTTAATATTGAATTTATCTTTATTCTTAGCCTTTAAATTAAAACGTGTTAGATTATTTTAAATATATTTATAAATATTTCATTTCAACCAAAACCTTACATAAAAACATTAATTAATTGAAAAAGTAAATTGGTCAATCAGACCTCTAAATATAATGGACTTATTTTAAATGTTATTTTAATGATGCAACATTCATTGTCGCTTTTCGTGGTGCCGGTTAATAAAACTAAAACTATCCTGGTATTTTACATGTATACTTTCATGTCGATATGCTTAATCGATGCAGCATGACAGTATTAAAAAACAAATAATTTTTATTATTTAAATAATGCCATTCATTAAAATATCCGATCAAAATTCTTATTGGACACAATCATTGGCTATTGAGCAGTAACAATTTACTTGTAGTTTGGTCGATTCCCATCATTTTGGCCTGCCTATACCTTGTTGTTTTGGTCTGTCATATTATTATAAAGAAGCTGGTTATCCTGAGAGGTCTTCAGTAGTCATATCTGGTTGTTCACTGGTCGTGTTTAAAATTGATGGCATCCCCCTTATATACCAAATGATCGATCTGGACGTTATTATTTTCCCCATTTATAAGTTTGTCAAGAAACACACAGATTGAGGACAATGAATTCATGACAGGCCGAATCAGCGAGGCCGAAGCGGACCAAAATGATCTGGAACGACCAAACTGCAGGTTCATCACCGCGCAGACTCCATCAGAGAAGAAATCTCACAAAAATTTACTTACTTGTTTGAGTAGGTAATCCTCATATGGCTTGTATGAATTTGAATCGAAACCATAGGACAATATTTATACAATTATATTTTTTCATAATACATATTACATACTTTCAAAACAATGGGTTCAAAACGGCAGTACAATGTTTGCCAACGTTTTCGAAGCGCGTTCATAATTAAATATTACATAATATAAATGTATTATGATTCAACGAATACTATAAATTTGTCGTGTCATGGTGTGTTTCAATTATCGATGTATTTGGACACACCTCTTATTGTCGTTTTATTGAAAATATATTAAAGCCTGATTTATCTTTCATTAAAATTGTCCTTTGGTGAGTTTTTTAAATTCCTAATTATCACCTACCTTTTTCACTTTCTATATCCTTTAAGCTTACTCAATCTTAACAAAAGTGTGCAGATTTTACAATCCGAAATTCCATTTAAGATTTTCCTTTTCGGAAAAGCGCTTGTGCTCGCAAAACTTACTTCAATTCGTAAATTAAATTGAAGACTTCAACTTACCTTTGATTAGGAGGAAGCAATACCGAAGGATAAAATTCGGGTACATTTGCATTCAAATAACCTCTGTCGACGATCGCCTGGTTTGTTTTCTTTAATGTCAAATGCTCTGTGAAGTCAAAATAAGTTGGGTTTTTACTTTTTTCAACAATTTACTTATCACAATTTTAGCAATATATTCTTTTTTTGGTTGACAATTATAAGTCTTTTGAAAACATTCGATCCTCAGTAAACAATTATGAATTTACGATATGGTTTTGTAAACGACAGTTCGTCTTACTTTCCTCGTTTTCCCAAAGGCCTCGGACCGTGTCGCATTGTATCTTATTGTGAAGTATAAGCTCTTGGAGGGTATCGACGGTGTACGGAAAGTGATTTCCATCTTTCAGCATTTCTGTAACCAAAACGAGGAAAGCGTGACAACAAATAATTTTGGAATAGAGGAAATTTTACACATAGAGGGGGGGAAATCATGAGTTTTTGTGTTTCCGCGCGTGCAAACGTTTTGAAAAACCAGTTCGGAGAGTGTGGCAAGGTTTTAAATGGCCAAAAAATAGAAAGTAAATTTGGTTTTCCTCCTTGTACGCTGGGTTTGGCTTTTAGCAGACAATTTTTTTTTTATGCTTCACTTGTCCGATGCATAAGAAGAGTGGGCAAATGCCGTGTTGGCCAACGACCAAACTCTGCGATACAAGGATGACCAAGGAGAACACGGTTCAACCTCTCGCAAACCGAAAACCCCGCACCAAAAATAAATTTTGCCTCTTTTTATTTTGGCCCCTCATTTTAACGGAAGTTAACCCTTAAGTAACGGATATCATTACCTAAAATGTGGTTGTAGCTGAAAAGCGATCTGTTCGAAGCGTTCTTTATGACGGTGCTGAGGGCGGGGTACGCGCCGAGTAGGGCGATTGGCCATGGCTGAGCTAAAAGCCAATTTGGGTCCAACAAAGTCTTCTGAGAGAGAGGCGCTGGCAAGGTTGGGCACGGCCGTTCCGCTTCGTTGCACGCCGGACTCTCGTCCCAGCGGCAGCACGGCAAAGATATCTCAACTTGCTCAGAATTCCAACTAAAAATAAAATGTCTCCGTGTTTTTATTTACATTTTAAATCATTTTAATGACGGGGACCGCTCTTGGAAACAATTGCTGCAGAATTTAACAAGGGAGAAGTTAACGGTTTCATCTATCCGGCTATCCCTGAAAGTTTCTCAAGTCGGCTAACGTTCATCCTTAACTTAATGAGATTTCTCCTTGATGTCTGCGCGGTGATGAACCTGCAGTTTCGTCGTTTCCGATAATCCTGATCTGCCTACGACTAACATATTGACCACTGAAGATAGGAAAATCACTCCAGACAGAAACCAATATAATAGGCGGACTAGGATGTTCGGAAATGACCAAACCATTTGTGTCTTAATTGTGAGATTTCTCCTTGAGGTCTGCGGAGTGATAAAACAGCATTTTTGTCATTGCCGATCATCCATGTCTACCTATGTCTGTCTGACAAACTTCTAAAGATATGGCGCCAACACTTTTGACAGAACAATATAGATCACAGGCAAATCAGGATGTTCGGAAACGACAAAAATACACGCTACTTCATTGAGAGATTGCTCCTAGAGATCTACGAGATGGTGACCTAACTGTTTTGACTCTTTACATCACCTTGGTCTACCTACGTCTTTCAGACAAACCGCTTTGTCATATGCTGCCTATACTCCTGACAGACCAAAACAGTGGGTATAGGCGAACTAGGAGGTTCAGAAATAAACAAACCACTAGTAATATAATGACATTTCTCTGATATCTGCGGGGTGATGAACCAGTCGTTTGGTCCATTTCGACCATTCCGGTCAGACCATCTCTGACAGACTAACTAGCGAAAATGTGATAAACAGCAAGCACTTATGGTAGACTACAGCGAGAACGGGCGGACCAGGTATTTGGAAACAGCCAATCCACAAGTTACTTGATGTTATGAATCGATAGTTTAGTCTTTTCCGATTATCCAAGTCAGCCTACTTCTGACAGACTGGTCTGCCAAAAACATGACAGAGAGTAGACGGTCTAGGATTTTCATAAATGAACGAACTATAATTAACTTAATAGTTATCCGTTTAAATCATGTAGACTACGACTATTTGGAAAAAAATTGAAACAATTAAATAATATAAAATTTCCTTGAAAAAACTTGAGTCTGTTCACAACTTTTCATTTTTTTAAGTGTTGTGAAAAGTTTAACAAGCTTGACTTTTAGAAATAATTATGAAATGTATGACAATAGAAATATAATAATTATCAATAAAATTCACTTTACGTAGTAAATGCTAACCTAGCATATTTTTGCCCTGACTGATTACAAGGCAGCCAGGAAATTGCATGCGTTCTTTAATAATTTATTCGTAAACATGTTAACCCTATGCGACTTATGTTATTTCATCACTTAAATTTTTTTAAAGGGTATTTCAACTACAAGGTTATAAGAACCCTCGGGGTGCCGATGTTTCTGAAAAAAAGCTCATTTGTAAGTACACTCGGGTTGGAGTGCGGGCCCATTGGATCCGAACCAGGGACCCACCTTACAGTGATGAGCGCCGTGTCAACGCCTTAACTGTTGCTGTCACCGACGCCCCTGCGCTATTTATTACTAACATATTTGTTTCATTAAAACCATCAATTTTAAATTTCATTTATTTCACTTGAAAAAATTTAAAAGAGTGGTTTTAAATGATATTTACATTACAGTGGAATTGGTTTCAATTTAAAATAAAAATCGTAGACTTAGAATTTTTAGAAAAACAAAGCAACGTTAGCATTTAAACTACTCTATACTGTAACCAATCAAAGATAGATTATAGATAGATAATGAAAGATATTATAGAAATAAATTATCTTACAAATGTAAAAAGTACGTTTATGGGTTAGAATATGTCATAAGATTAAATATGTTTAAACATTAAAATTAATTACAATTTCATCCTCGCTAAACACACTGCGGTAATGGTTTTTTCACAAAATAAAATTCAATAACAATAAATATAAAACACATTGGAGATGCTCAGCTGTCTTAACAATTTGATCAATCAAGTGCCACTCTACACGTTTCAAATTTCGGTTTTCCAAAATTTTATAGTTCAAAAATCAAATTTTTTTGTAATCACACTCAAGACAAAATTCTTACAACTACATTATTCGTGTAAAAATGTTTTGTAAAGCTTACAGATCAACTTTGCCCGGTTGTGCCTGTGGGGGTGGCTCTTTTACGACTTGTACGTTTTTGCCGTTACTGCCCGGTACCAATTCGTTAAGCCGTAATAGGTCGATCCATAAGTTCAAGTTTGCAAGCTTGTAGCTGTCTCCGTAGTCCGCTTTGCTCCACCAAACTTGATCGGCGTGTAGTGCAATCTGGGCGTATGCACAACCCACAGGGAAATCGTTGTCCATTTCCGATTTACAATTGGTTAACGATTGCCATTCAACTCACATTCGGCCGACCATCTGACACTGCCATTGTTTTTTGTTTTTTTGTTTCTTTTTTTTATTTATTTTTTGTAGACAGCCAGAAAAAAACACAATCCACACAATTATGCCGACTTGATTATTTCTCTTCAGCTGATATTAGGCTCGCAAGCGATGAAGAGGTGTAGCAAGAGTTCAGTTGTAAGTTCTTCCGAAATGACATTTTTTAAATCTGTTTATTCGATTTGTACAAATTTTATGACCGGTCTCTTGTCCTTTTTCAAAAATAATGAGCGTTGATTTAATCAAAATTGAGATATACGTTTGAATTTCAATTTTAACCGTCAACATTCGTACATATTGAACTCCAGGATTAGTTTTAAAATGATTCACATAAGCAAATAGGTTTTTGAACACGTTTTTGCGTAAAACAGTCTTAACATTGCCCTACTCCCGTCATCTGAACGATTTATTATTTCTATAAATTGATTATATACAACAATGAACACAAACTTTTTTTTTTAAACTAGGCTCAGAAACCAACCTGTTGTTTTAAGAATGAAACGTCAGATTAGTCAAAAAAGACAAGCAGTTTAATTTAAAACTACAAATTATTATTAACTCCTTTGTATAAAATAAAACTCCAAATCCTGAGTCCTTCAACCAATAAACACAAAAATCAAGTTTGATATCATTGTGACATTACAATATACCAATTCCACTGACTTAAGCGTTTTTTAATCTCAAATCTTTTATTTAATTTTATTTCATAAGAAACTTGTTTTTGTTGCAATTGTATTTGCATTTTCAGACAATGTTCCAGCGCCGAATAATTGATAAGACAAGCGTTGTAACTGATCAACTGCTCGGGGAATCGGAAATTTAAGCGTGATTCCGAATCGGTGAGTAAATATATCGATATATAAAATCAATGTAATAATAAAATAATATAAATAACATTTTATTTTACATTAAAAAAAATTCTCATAAGATCTGATAGCCATGCAGCTATTAAAGCATTAGCATGTAAAAGAATCACATCAAAATTAATCATTGAATGCATCCAAAATCTCAAAAACCTGGGGAACACAACAACCTGATGATATCTTGGGTGCCAAGTCACAGAGGAATTTTGGGTAACGAGAAAGCAGACGGACTGGCCAGAGATGGATCTGCAAGACCATACATAGGACCCGAATCTATACTTGGAATAACAAAAACAAATATAGAATCCTCCATCGCAGAATGGATCCAAACCAAACAAAAGGAGAAGTGGGTAAACTCTAGCGGCGCCAGACACAGTAAACTTATGATGAAACAACCCTCACCAAGACTGGCAAAATCACTGCTGCAATTGGAGAAAGTTAAACTCAGAGGAGTGGCAGGAGTACTAGCCGGTCTTTGGCATATGAGAAAACATCTACTCAACTTATACAACGATGATCCCATCTGCACATTATGAATTGAGGAAGAGGAAACAGCCGTATCATCTTCGAATGCGAAGCAACATGAAGATTTAACCTAGCATACGAAAAAATTTGGAATGAAATTGTAGCAGCGACAGTCAACGACCTGATACTTTTAAGCAGAAGGATTGAGACTATTGCACTGAAATAAGAACTAGGAAGTACGATAAGTTAGAAGACTGTAGTGCCTGGCGAGGAGAAACCCCGCTTCCTAGTATCCTTATTACAATACCATACCTCCTAGTTCAATAAGAAATTTGATTGGTAGGCCTGGCTTCAGGGGTTAAATTTTTTCTACGGATATGTTGTACCCACTACCCTCGACTGGAGACCAACGTCAGGGACGTCTGGAAGTGTCAGTTTACCCCATTACGTAGATTATCGCTAATTTCTCATTTTTAATTTAAGCCAAGCGCTTAATAGATGTGACTGTTGCATTATTTTATGAGAAAAGCTTGACAATTTTAAATTCGTCAAAACTGTAGCTTGTTCGCCTCCGGTCAAACACCTCCTTGGTTTCAGTAGTTGAATTTCTTCATCATGTTGTACATCCCAAAACACTTCCTCCTGCGGGGTAACGTTGCCCAGTTTATCAGTAGGTGTCTCCTCTGCTTATTCGCAGAATGTGCCTTGTTGGGTTATACCAATTGTCTTCAGATGCCCATTGCCTGCATTGTCCTGACTAGAATCCTCTCAGGATTCGAAGTGATTTTCAGTTTTCTTTGGTGTATTTGTTGTTTCTTTCCTTCCAATATTTACTACATTGTTCGTGCATTGTGTAAAACCAATGGGGTGAATTCCACTGTTTCCTCATTTTCATTTTGTCTTTTTGTCACATTGATAGTGTAAATCCCTATGCCACAGAAGAGCACATAACCTATGTCTTCCTTTCATGGACGACCGCTCTCTCGTTGTACTCTACTCTCACTTGTCCTGGGACCCAGCAGAATGTTTATTATGAGAAAAGTAATTAAAGAATTTTCAAAGGAAGTGACAAATCCAATTTCAAGTGGTGGGTCGTTTAATGCTAATGAGCCGGTTTAACTGTATTGGTACGTATGTAATACGCATCATCGAAGGAAGGTGAGCAAGATAACAGGTGTCAAGAGCCTATGAGCTATGTTGGCTGTTTTTTGTTTGTTTTTTAACTAAAAGATTACATAACGGGGAATTCAAATGACGTGGAATATAATTAAAAGTGGTAATTTACCTCCGGCCTTCTTATCTTTATTTACAAAAGTGGGACGCGATGAGCATTCAAAGTTGTTTCGTTCTTGGCGGCTGGTGGTACTAGATTCTTGACCTTTCTAATTGAAACCTTCCCTAATGTTTTATTTCAGATTCCTCGTAGTCGTTGTTACTGGACTGGTACTGGCGATCATGACAGATGTAAATATCGACGTTTCTGGAAACCTCAGCACACCCCCAACGATGGAAACTAACGGGTAATTATTAAAAATAATTATTATTTATCTATCGCATAATGCCACATCAACAGGTATATCGTTGAAGGTTGTTGCTTGTTTCTTCTTTTTTTGATGGGGGACACTTGGCTTTTCTCATTCCAGTCAAGAGTTTTGATATCTGAATTAACGTCTGTACCCATAAACGTTCAGTTTTTCAGTTAACAGTAGATATTTTAAACGAGACTAGAGGTTAATTGTTATGTTTAGCAACTGATTCATATCAGACCTTGCTTACGTCAAACCTCTCGTTTTTCGACCTTCATGTTGTTTCAACGTGTTATACTTAAGACTGAAAATAACCATAAAACTATAAACAGTTGTATCACCTACACCATATGGGTAGAAAATTTTGACAGACACTGAGTTTTACAGTACCAGAATGTCCGCCCGGACTCGCTTTGTTGAAAAATGCCTGATGTAAACAAAGCCTCAACCCCAAGCCCCTCAAGTATCTGAGAAGGCTGATACACAACGAGTAAAGAGGACAATTTATGGAACCCCTGGGTTTCAGGGACAAACCAACAGCTTAAAAAATCAAAAGATTAAAAAGTTGGTGCTTTTTGTTGGTATGCAAGTGGTTGAACTGATTGACATTGATTATTTTACTGGGTTCGCCTGTTCCCACGGGTTTCTTACATTGCCCTCATAAGTTCCGTCTCATGCCATTTTCAGTGAGGAATCATGAGTGCAACAAAAAAATCAGCGAGAATAGATGTACTCTGTTAAGTAAACAATGTCAATGTCAATTTATGCAATGAACTATTATTAAAAAACAACAAATTTTGTGATTAAAGACAGCTCTACCAAACAGGCGCTCTAACCTAAGTTTTTTCTTTTTGGTGAAGGGTATTTGAAAAAAACAAGAAATCCTTAGTGATTTTTATTTTCAGGAAGTTTCAGGCTATTGGCTGTACAGCAGCTCAAATGGGCTCAAATTCCGGCTTAGCACCCCACAAATCAACGGATAATTTCAATGAAAATTTGTTGGAAGGAATGTCCATGGTTAAGTGGTGTGCTTAGTAGGAATTATCCCGTTTAAGCTGCTGAAGTTGGACTAATAGCCCGACTTCCAAAAAGTAAAAACGCCACCATGGATTTCTTGGTTTTTTTTTCGAAAGCCCTTCTCTCTATTGTGAACTGTGAATAATAAAACAAAATGTTTTTGGGTGTTATGAATAATTTGGCAGAGGACATTAAAGTTTTTTCAAATCAATTTATTCTTAAATAAAATTACAAATACTATGTGGGGTTGAAGGTAAGAACTGTACATATATATTTTACTAAATTTGACAACCAATTTTTAATCCATTAGTGTCAATCAGTTTTTTATATTAATTAATTGTGAAATTCATTCTTGAGGTCTGCAGGAATGGAACTAATAGCTTGATTGTTAACAATCATTTTGGTTATCCTGGCCTCACTGTGCAGACAATCTTAAGACAAATCTAACTTATGGGTATTGTATGTGGCAAATATTCCATAGGGATGTGGTAAAAGCACCATGATTTGTATAGTATCCCTAAATTCACAAAGGATTACGTCTCACAGAGGAGTTTGTCATAAAGAAGTATCAAATGTTCAATTACAATACCCCATTTTTCAAGTAAGCATCTGTGCTGTGCCTGAGGATATCAGCACTCAGAATATAATCACAGCAACATCAATATTTTCAATTGAAGTCTATGTTACAATTTAATATTCCTGTAACTTGATTGTTTATGATTATTCTGGTCTGCCTACTCACTGTTTTGGTCTTATCCAGTCACGTTTGCTCAAACTTCCTATAAAATAGCCGGAAATTTCACTTTTATTCATTTATTTAGGTCTAGAGGGTTTAAATACTATGTCTGAGGTAGTGTGATGTAATATTATAGTAGATGCTACAATTATTCTTGTTGATAGTTGTATTGCCTAAAGTGGAAAGTATATTTCAACCTAACTCCTACTAATACTACTAGTGATGATAACAAAACTATAACATAAATGTTTATTTTCTTTTAGTAACAATGGATTGCAAAGGATAGTAAGAAACATTCCTTCTATGCAGGAATTTGTCAAAACTTGCAAAGAGAGCATAAGACCTTGGACCCTGTTTGCAAATACAAATAATTTCAAATTGCCACCAAGCTTCCCCAGATTTTTGAAGCGTGTTGTCAACAATGTAAAATACTTCCAGGGAAATTATGTTGTCATCTCACTTATCCTTATGGCTTACTGTCTGTAAGTTATTTTTGCAATAAATAATAACAAATTAATCATTATAATATATTATTTTTTGTTTCGTGTTTTAGCTTAGCTTCTCCATACCTACTCTTATTGGTTATTGCCAGTTTAGGAGGATGCTACATCTTGTCTCTAAGAAATGCAGACAGAAAACTCTACATTCAAGGCAGGGAAGTGACTTTACTTCAGCAATACTGTCTCGTCGGTGCGATTTCATTGCCAGTTTATTATTGGGCTGGAGCTGGAGAAGCAGTGTTTTGGGTTCTAGGTAATACACTTAAATACACAGATAAAAAACAATTTTATTCTCGTTAAACAAGCACATTATAATAACATATTTTTTTATTGTTTAGGAGCATCGTGCGTTGTGATATCAGTCCATGCCGGGCTTTACAATATAGATGCAATATTAAATGAACAGGATCAAATCAATGTATTAATACAACAAATTTAAAACAGAATCTTGTTTGACTATACAGTGTAAATAATTTTTAACGTGCCTTCCTATATATATATGTATATTATACTCATCTCTTGGGTTTATTTATGTTGGTTGTAAATATGTATTTTGTATATAAAATTTGTTATGAATAATATTTTATGTATATTAATTTTTATACTATTAACCTATAATATTTGGAATGAAAGAAGGCTTATTTATAGATAATTCACACACACACAAACATTAAAAAATTAATTATTAATCAAATGTTTATAATGATAATTTTTAATTAGGAACATCCTTATTTTTAATTCATAACTAAAGTATCAACAATACTTAAATGACTAGTGCAGTTTTTAAATGATTTCAACAAGTTTTGCATTTAAAATTTAGCTGAGAGATTTTTCATTTTTCCTTTGGTAGAATGCCTTGAAATGAAAAAGTATGTACAAAGCTGAAAAGTCCCAAAGCTTAATGAAGGTTTCTGCAATTCTCTCAACAGTTAGGATAAGACTCATTCGAATACATGGCCCGTGCGAGTCGTAACTGGAAGTCTTTGTAAAGGAGTTTCCCCCCAAGCGGAACTCTGTCGAGAAACATCGAAACCGTCATGAGGCAGAGGGCCTTACCATTCATGATGAACCGATCAGTCGCGACATTCGGAAGATGGTGCATTTCAGCCATGTACTGCAACCAGGTAACAACATCGTGTCTCGTCCAGTATCGCGGATCTAGAAAATATTTTAAAAGTTCAGTTTACCATCTGATGAAACTGTGTTAAAAACTATTGCACAGATATTGTAAAACTTATAATGTTAAATATAAATTTTATTACTAATCTTAATAATTATTGTGTATGAAGACCAACTTTTCTATTTAGTTTCTTTGGTTGAGTTAAAACCAAACATGAAACTTGGTTTGAAAGTTACCAACCAATTAGCTATTCTCATTAGATTTTAACTTTTTGTGTACTTGTGTAAATTGTCTCAGCAGTACTAAAAAAAAATCAAAGTTACCAAAAAACTTTCTTCTCGCTCAACAGGAATACTCTGACAGTACACTAACTACACCTAAAGAGATAAAATTAATAGTAAAAAACAAAAAAATAACTAACACCCACCATTGTCAAAAATCTCCCTAGAAAAGCGTTCATTTATCTCACCATACTAATCAATCACAAGCTAAAACGCTCTTTTCCCATCTTCCAGGAAAATAACAAAAGTCATCCCTATTCCTAAACCTAATAAAGACCACACCCTGCCTGATAACTATCGCCCAATATCACTGCTTAGTACCCTCTCAAAAATTGCAGAGAAATTAGTACTGCAAAGAATTAGGCAATTTTTAAATTGAAATTATATTGTGCATTGCCAATTTGACTTCAGACCCATCCATTCTATTTCCATGCAGTTGGCCATATTGGATATGATTCTCCATAATTTTAATGTAAAAAAGTATGTAACTCATGTCATATCAATTTCCTACCTACCTAACACTTTAAATATTAATTACCTAGCCTAACCAAGTGAGGAAATTCTTATTAAAATTATATGTGTGGTGTTTAGTGGCCATTAGTCAGTGATTATTTGAATATAAAAAACTTTTTTTGCATTGAATAACTTCATTTTTTTTCCACATCCTACATGTATTTGTTGAATTTAAACAATGTTTGTAAATCACAGGCCCTGAAGATGATCTCAAAAAGGATCGAAACGTTGGCACGATAAAGAAAATGTTTTTCTAAAACCTACATCACACCAGACCACATCTCACGATCTCCGAATAATCATTAAAATTATATATAAAAAATTCTTATAAATTATATACATTCAATAATTGATACTTGAGTCTACTAAAGTTACAAACTTGGTCAATTAAAAAAGGATAGTGTAAAAATTTATAGTCATACTAAGGTTGGTAACTACAAAGTTTAAATGGTTGCTGATTGATTTATTTAATTTTATCTATAGTATACTGGGAAATTTAAGCAAAAATTTAAAAATCTATTTGCTATAAATACCTTGTGGAATATTTGGTTCATTTGCCCCGGTGGAAATCCAATGGTTGTAATAATTTGGGCTCGAGAGAAGCTCGGTCTGCATAGTGTCACTGAAAAAACAAAAAATAATTTTAATAATAAATAGACAAAAGTTGCACAATTTATAATAATAATAGAACTGGTCCCAATGGGGACTGCTAATTAAACTCCCCCCTCCTGTTTCAAACACAGGATTATGCATGAATTGGTATCCTGTCCATTATTTGAAATGTCCCATGGGCTTCCTGCAGTGCACAAAATACTTCCTGGCCATTGTGGTCGGCTACAGCCTCCTCAAACAGCTTCCCTTTTTACCGAATACAGGAGGGCTAATTACACAATAGCTAGGGTCTGAAGCAATTTAAGCGTTCTAACACCCCAATTTATTAAACCTAAAAAACACGAGAAAATACCAAAAGATCCATTGGTTTTTATACGCTTTCGAAAAAAAAAACTGTCTTTTCCTGTCTGGATAAGACGTCGCGATGATTACAGCCCGGTGAACTGCAAGGACCGCTAAGAAACCCGTGAAAAATTGCAGATAGATCTCCGTGGGAAGTCCTGCCCAGCAGGATCGAATCAAACGAAATAAATCAATAGCAGATGTTGCCGTTCTTTCTCGATGGAGAAATCCCATTTTCGAAAATTTACACTTTTAAAAAAACAACCAAAATCCAACATTTGGATAGAATAAGAACAGAAATAACCGAATGTTTCATTTGTAAAAGGAAGAACAGGCAAATGCTAAGGGTTTAACCCTTACATTATCACATCGGCTACGTTTATTAATAAAAATCGCTTAAATTAGATAGTACATACACATTTTATCATATAAAGAAGTGTTATGTTTAGTAATGAATTTTTAATTACTTTTTTAACTGTATTTCATATTTATTTAGTTACATACTTACATAAAAAATAGGAGAACTGATCAGACGTAGAATTCTTATTCTATCCTTGAAATTTCGGCGAAAGTACTTGAATTCCTTAATTCGAATTAACTCAATTTTTTTGTAACATGGGCGTCCCAATAACGGAATATGTGGGTAATTAGAGCAATTAAAAGAACAACGGGTTATAATAGCGCACGAACGATTCAAAGCTGTAATACTAGTTGAAGACCTTTAAATTGTACTATTTCGAAAGCTGTATCAAATTGGCTTGGCAACTTTCACAACATGTACAATTGTATTAAAAAATTCCAATTATTTGCAATGTTGTCGTTTCAGATCATCCTGGTACACATATCCTTATCAGAAACGATTCGCCTTCTTCAGCGGCTGGTATTTGACTTATTTTGTCAACGTGCAATTTTTTTTAAACAAGTTTGTTCAGATAGGCTTGTAGGTAAAGAAGCCGAACGTGCGTGTCAAGGATAAGCGACCAGGATGATCTGAAAATATCGAACTGCTAAACCATGATAGTGGAACTGAGTTGACGTACCAAGGCAATGGGATCTGTGGAAAGGGATTGATGGAATTTTTAATAATAGGTTTTCGTAACTTCTGGACCAAATGGAATATTAAGATCTTGATGCACGGTGAGGTTGGATACTTAATAAAGAGCGTTAATAATTTTTATTATGACTTTCGATCGGAATCTTTGGATGGGTTAAGAGTTGGAATGCTTGGTTGACCCCCCAGAGTTCGATACCGTAAGTCCGTTTGTTTCCGAACCATGGTGTATATTATTCTTTTGTAATTAAGTGGAAGTTTGAATCGCCCGTCGAGCAATAGTGAAAACGTTTGTAACGTCTATTTAGTCTAGGCCTATACTCGCGGTTTGGTCTGAGCATTTAGCCATCTTCAGTGGCTACTCGTATTGTTATTTCGAAAGCAGTGACTTTTTGTTATAAGATTCTACGCACATACATACTACAACAATGTCCAAACGTCAGACGGGCAAACGAGCGAGGATAAACGGACCAGGTTGATCTGAAATGACTAGGCTGTGATAAACAAATAGTTCGGTCATTACGATCTGCCTATCCTCGCTGGTTTGGCCCGTCTGACGCGTTTGGAAACTTGTAGTTAATATGTGCGTACAAACTTATAAAAAAAGACACAGCTTTCAAAATAACAGTACCATTAACCACTGAAGGATAACGGCGTCAGACACGCTTCCGCACTTAGCCATATTCAGTGATTAGTCTGTCATTTTGTAAGCAGTGTCCTTTTAAGTTTATAAACCATACAATGAAAGATGCCAAACACGTCAGACGGACCAAACCAGCGAGGATAAACGGACCATGGTATCAAAACGTCCGATTTCATCGCCTAGAAGAACCCCGACAAGAAATCTCATATTTTATCGATTTATTGTAAGCAATTTTTCACAATAAAGTCTGTTCATACAATCATACTTCATTCTGTGATAAAAACGAAATTTAAAAAGAACTCTTTAATCTATGTAGGAAAGCTGATATGTTAAATTTCTTTTTACAGAAACTTAAACGATAAGAAGTCACGATAGCTCAAGTGGTAGAGCAGCGGCGTATTTAGCCGAAGGTCGTGGGTTCGAATCCCGCTCGTAACACTGACTTTTTCATCTCAACCAATACTTACATAAAGATTAATTAATTGAGAGATGTTATTTGGTCAATCGGACCACTAAATCTAATGAATTTAAACGATAAGGTCAGACACGACAAGATTATGAAGAAAAACCCATAAGTTCATTATTTTAAATAAAAACATCAGCCGAAAATTATAATCGGGAATAGGTCGATTGAATAGTCTGTTTTGAATAAAATAAAACAATAGATCGTCTGTGGCAGATGTTTCTATCTCTTTCTCCCTCGCTCCCTCCAGAAAGAAGTTGGTGCGGAAGCGGAAGTGCACCGGTGCCACATGATGGTGATGGTGGAAATGGGCATATGTTTCTTAGCATGCGTCTTTGTTATTTACGCCCGAGAGGGGGGACCGTTTGTTTACTTTCGTCTCGCGAGCACAGATATACTTGGAAGGCGTGTTATTAACAGGGTGGGACATCCTGTTTTTCGATTCTTAGATAATGGGACAACTTCATCCAACAATTACGAAGCGAGTAGACGTAATAATTGTTGTTGTTCATTTTGTGTTTTTTGTATTTACACGTATTCTTTTTGTTAAAATAATAAATGTGTGAGAGAGTAAGAAAAAACGAGAACTTAAGAAATGATGGGAGAAATAAAGAGAAAAGAAAGATAGAATTGAAAAGAAAGAGAAATAGAGATATCGATTANAAGATATACAGAGAGATAGAGAGATAGAGAGAGAGAGAGAGAAAGAGAGAGAGAGAGAGAGAGAGAGAGAGAGAGAGAGAGAGAGTAAGAGAGGGAGATAGTTTTGGTAGGTAACCAAGAAATTATTGAAATAAAGAAAGTATTTGAGAAAAGGAAATTATTCGACAGTTTGAGAACAAGATAGTTACATGGAGAAAGAGTGGGTGGTGAAGAGAGATTTAGTGAGAAGATTAAAAAGAGATCATGAGAACGCGAGAAAGTGAGGCACAAAAGAGAAAGAAAAGCGAAAAAATGTGAATTTGATAGAGAAAAGAGAAAGTGAGTGAGAAAGAAGCGTTTACTGCATAGAAACTATTATAGATTCAAAATGGATGTTGCATTTCCTTGAAATCATGTAAGATACCCATCGACGAAATATTATGCTTTCAAACTCCAATTATTGACATATTTAATCATATGGTGGGGATCAGTCATAGGTCGTAAAGTTTTATATTCAGACCAATACACCATTATGACTTGTATTTAATTTCGGTCAAGGTTTCTCATCGAAGATGTTTAATTTATCTGTTGACATTTTATTTTTGTTCAAGACCCAAACAGTAGGAAATGAAATATTAATAAGCAAGTGCTCGGCTACTTCATCTGGGTTGGTGTTGGGTCAGGAGAAATTGAGTCTTTTGGATCTTTGGTACATCAGTGGTTTATTAGTGTTTTTTCTATTTTTAATTTCTTTCGACAGTTCAATGTAGTCTTTGTTCACCTTGTCGTATAACGTCTGGATTATTTTAACGTAGGCTTAAGGAAATTTAGGCTATTGACCTTAAGTCAAGAAAACTTACGATAAAAATGTATCTTAGGTGGGGTTCCTTTTTCTACTTGTATGAATAAAATAAAACTTAATAATTTGTTCTTACTATTCTTTTTGTCATTCATAATTTCAATTATAACTGAAGGTCTGTCTGCACTGACTTGCTGTACTTTTTAAACAAAAATCTGTTTTGTACTGCCAATCTATTCCACCATTCAAGAATGAGTTTGACTGGGCATAAATAACTTGTGAGATTTCAACTTGACGTCACATCATATGATACATCAACTTGGAAGGCATTATACATAACTTCACTAGTTTTCGTGGTCCGTTTGACCAAATACCATCTTTCAATTAATTAATCAGTGTTTAAGGTATTGGTTGAGATAAAAAAGGCAGTGTCACAAGCGGGATTCGAACCCACGACGTTCCGCTAAATACGCCGCTGTTCTACCATTTGAGACGCGCACTCCCTAACCAAGATGTTATTTGGTCAAGCGGAACACGAAAAGTAGTGAATTTAATAAGTTAAATGAAGTATATCTTCACTAAAGCTCGCCGTGGCCATTTCCTTTGTCGCCGAGAATCAAATAGATTACACGAAATTTGAAAAATGGGAAAAAGGAGGGAAAATTCAAAAGGTGAGGTTGAGATGGGAGGTTGGTGTCCGAGTGGATCGAAGTCACGATAGCTCAAGTGGTAGAGCAGCGGCGTATTTATCCGAAGGTCGTGGGTTCGAATCCCGCTTGTGACACTGACTTTTTATCTAACCAAACCTTAAATATAGATTAATTAATTATACATAACGATCAATCCAGTGGGCAACCTGCCTGGTTAACATTCTGTACAAACCTTAAAGCCTTGTTTGTTTGACATTTTGTATAATCTTTTTTATAATACAGGTTTATTAGACATATCGATCAAACGGGAAGAAAATCTAATGACCAACCTGTGGACATTTGGTTTAATCGTGAGATTTTTTAAATTGTTTAATTGTTCTGTTTTTGGACAAGGCCTATTAGAGCTGCAGAACTTTTATA